TTTTTTAATTACAAAAAATCTCAAACTGGTACACATGTGATAAATTTACCCCATGTTAGTTTTCGCTAAATTTTACAGTTAAATTGCTTAGTTAAATTACACGCAATTCAATAGGCAAATTTATCACAAATGTACCTGTTTGGAGTTTTTGGTGATAAAAAAAATTAGTTCGGGGTAAATTTATCGCAGATGTACCAATTTGGAGTTTTTTTGTGGTACTAACCCTAAATAAAACTAACGGTGACTTTATCAGCTCCCTGGAAGACACTGTGCCTTCTGGGTTCTCTACCGTTGGATCGGAAAACCAAAAAATTATAAGCATCAGCGACATCTGCTGAACGTGTTAATCTGATGGTAAGTGATTAGAAAGACACGGCGGTACTTTCCAAAGAGGCCGGGAATCGCTCGAACAGGCAATCGCGAAATCGCCATCTTCTCCCCCCACAGGAAAAGAAGGGGGGAAAAGTCGGGTTTTCTACGTAAATGTGTGGTTAGGCTTGTTCGGTTCACACGTCTCTCACTTTTGATGAGGCATCTCTCTGGCTGGGTTTGCCGGGGCCCCCGCGGCAGATGACTTTCTTAACTAGAAATGAAAAACGATGTCTCACCTCTGAATGGCGAAATCCTCATTGTAGCTGATTTGGATGTCACAAGAGAGATTCTGAATAGCATGCTCGGATAATAACATGTGATCCATCTCCCCGTTTTTTTTCTCGACACAACACGATGGGTGGAGACGGGTAATCGGTATAATTAACTCGCCAAAACGGCGTCGCGAGGGCCTCGCGTGTCGTCGCGGGTATCTCGGTCGAGTCATAACCGTCCATTCTGGCTCGTGGTATGTATGTTCGAGATTGACGAACCCGTAACACTGTGGCTTCGCCGGCGTGTCGCGAGTCGGAAAGTCTCTTCGTGCAAGAGAGTGAACACCGTGAGGTACGAGATGATGGAATGTTTGCTTTTCTTGCGACCTCGTGAAAAGTAAACTGCCTGTTTTGTCTTGGGCTTCGTGGTTAAAGAGTTAGTTTTAGTCTAACCGAAACCAAACGAATTGTCCTAATGGATCGAAATTATGTAATGATAATAGCTTATTATCAAAAGAAAGGGATAAAGTGTACTGCAAGTCCTAAAACTCGACATAAAAGTACAATGAAATCCTAAAACTTTCAAAAAGTGCAATCGAGTCCTAAAACCTACTCAATTGGTGTAATCAAGTCCTTTCATAAACTCCGTCCAACTTGATAAGCGAAAAATATCGACGAGTTTTGGTACATGATTATACCTTTTGAAGGATTCGAACGCACTTTCGTGATAAATCTTAAGATTTTGCGTTTTTTTATCTCCAAAAGAAATATATGAGGGTAGCGCTCCTTGTTGGTGGGGGGAAAAAACTGGAGGAGGAGAGAGGCGAGCGAGAGCAACAAGTTAGGCGTGCTTGTCTGGTTTATATTTAGCACCGAACGCAGTAGAGGAGCATCAAAAACGACGTTTCTCGATTCAAAAGTACGAGGAAAATGATGACTGAAATGACAAAAAGTGAGGACGAGTAAGACAAAGAGATCCATAATATAAGGCTAAGCAACGTGTCTTGTCCATACATTTGACACATTCACAGGAGTAGGCCAATTCACAAAAGAGACCGATTTATCTTCCCTAATTTAACTTTAACCATAGAGCAATATCCATCGAAACCGCTCTCTGGATATAGATACTAATACTCGCGTTTCGCGCTCAATTCGTGCCCGCAAAATGAACATTTCTATACCTAACGTAGTACAACGTTAAATATCCCGCATTACTTGCCTATGGAAATTATATACTCTTCACATTTATGATGTCTTTCTTCAACCTTTCGTTTTGCTATTCTTTTCTTTTCTTTAAGTCATACACGTGTTAGCTTAAAGCTTTAAGGTCGTATTTTCTAACACGACACAGGATTCTGATTACGCTCTTGTTTATTTTGCGCGTGCAGCTATTCTTCAAACTCCACGTGTCGTTTATTCGCCGAGTTTCTGTTAGGTCGAACTTTCGATAGTCCTCCCTCGACGCTTCCCCTAATCGGTGCTGAACGGCAGAACGTGCGCTCGAAATGCTTCTATCAACCAATTTCGAAACGGCCGAACTCGGGTCCGAGGTATCCGTGTTCTCTCGTTATCCATCAAAGATTCAAATCACCGGTCGGGCGAAAATCACTCCGCGCCATCTCTCGTTTCCAATCTTCAGAAAGCCTCAAGTAGCTGGGCGGAGATCGACGAAGAACACGAACTCCCCTACGAAAAGAGATAAAGAACAGATCGTACCATGGAGGAGCAAAGCGCATGGGCATGCACCATGCGTGGAAACAAAAGCTTAAAAAAATAAAAAAAAAAGGAGGAGAAGAAAGGAAAAGAAAAAGAGGAAAAAAAAAGGAAAGAAAAGGAGAAAAAGAGATCCAAGCACAGCACAACAGCGGCGGACAAAAGCGTCGAGACTCGAGACATTCCGAATGCGAGCGCCGTATGATCTTCGATGGTCCGCTGAAAGCGGCCACGTGTCCGAGGATCTTATTTATATTCCAATCCTTTGCCCTTTTCTCTCCTCTCCCCTTTTTTTTTTCTTCTCCCCCACTAAATCGCCCTTCTTTTGGCGATGCGGCAGCAGCAGCGATATCGCGAGTACGGCTCACGCAAAGACGGCTTCCGCCGTTGGGGGAAGCAGGAGTGTCCAGCGAATCGGTGGGCGACACGTCATCACTGACCCCGGGGGGGGGGGGCCCGCAATTACGGCCTTAACCGGGGGGGCATCCTTTTCCGGTATCAACCCCTCTAGCATAAATAAATAAATAAATTAAATAAAATATATATTATATATATATATATATATATAAAAAGAGGAAAGGGGAAACCTGATCCTTCTCGCGCAGCAACCCAGCGGTGGTGGGGCCCACCCCCCGGTGGTCCCGGTCGTATTAGAACCCTGCTCAAAGTGGGAGATTAATGGGGGGGGATTGGGCCCTCATCAAACATAGATTGATCACGCGACTATAGCAGACGAGCGACGAGCTTTTTAAGGAGGGGGAGGCATTCGCGCGGTTGTTGTGTCACTTGTCGCATCGCCCAATTATCGGCGTACCCCCCTCTCCACCCGACTTGTCATCAGATAAATCGAACCGGCTATGCGTCCGTGAAAATTGCGGGAGGCTGCAATTCTTTTCTTGCTTTTTTATTCCTCGAAATAGACATTAGGTGGGATTTTTCTGTTTTCACTTTTAACGGGGTGGGTTTCGAGTGCCGAGATGTCCTGATTTGCGAGCGAATGAATGATACCGGGAGTTACTTCTTCTTCTTCTTCTTCTTTGTTTTGTTTTTTATTTTGTTCGAAATGTATCGAGCCATATTCATCTTGTTCGGCCAACTTCCAAGTGGTTTGGCTCCATTTGGTCACAGGTTTGAAATCTTCCTGTCGCTCAATGGTTACGGGAAAACCTTGATTTGTCTGCGGCGTGAGTTCGACCGTGTCATGGCGTGGGATTTTCCCGGCTCTACTCCCACCGGCATCGTGGTGCAGCGATGGCGATGGATTTGTTATGGATGAGCAGTAATTATGGCTCTCCGATGCCAGTCTCTCATTTTCCGTCCATCTCGTATCACCTCCTCTACCTTTAAAAGAATTTGTATAATATTGCTTAAAAGATATGCACATAAAGTAGATACAAGATTAAGTTAATTATGATCTCGTTCCTTAATTTTTTGTCCAACTTTTCGATACGAATTACAAATTTGTGTTACGTGTGTCTATGATCAACAAAATTTCGACAATTTTTTATTTAGCTATTTTTTTTTTTTCGAAAGATCATACTGCAATCGGAATTGTGCAAATGATAGGTTCTTTCAAGTTTCACAACGAACTCTGAAAACCCGCAATACACAGGTCGGTCATATTAACGAGTGTTCAGACAACACTAGTTAATGTCACTAAAAGAAGCAGCCGTAGACCGATTTTTTATTTTTATTTTTACCATTTCCCATTACGATCCGTTTTATCAAATTTAAAAAAGAAGAAGCTAAAATCCGATTTTCTGATTTTTCTTTTTGCCATTTTGGATTTGGAAACTTGCACACTCGTGTAACGTGTACGGGGAGAGAGAAGGAGCATTGAATAGAGAAGAAGAAGGGGGGGGGGGGGGTTTGACAATTTCTTCTCATCGGGTTTTCCTTTATTTTTTTCTCTGGTTTTTTTTTTATTATTTAAATTGTCCGTACGAAAAGCAAGGGAGGGGTGGAGAGAATCTAGAAATGCACAACATTTTCCCCTTTTTCTCGCCCCCCTCGGAAATTCCAAAAGAAATAAATAAAAAAAGACCCAGAAAAAGGGAAAAAACATCATACGGCATTAATTACTCCTCTCTTTTTTTTTTGGTGTGGGGGGGTCGGAATATTTATTGCTAATTAGTCCTGCTAATAATAATAAATAATGCAGCATCGCAACACAAGGCAGCAAGCAAAGCAAAGCAAAAGCCAAGCCATGACAGCAAAATGATGGGGGAGCAAAAAAGATGAAATTTTTTCCACCAGAAACAAAAGAAAAAAAAGGAGATGAAATTTTGAGGGGGAGGAGAAGATAGGGAGAGAGAGAGAGGAGAGAGGAGAGAGGAGAGAGAGAGAGAGAGATGGTGTTGTTCATGGGGGGGGGGGGGGTGTTGCGGGTGGTGAGAGAGAGGAGTGAAGAAAAAGCAGAGAATAAAAAGAGACCGGATGTTGACAAATTTCATGTCACTGTTCTTAGAAGGTCGTTTGTTTGTGTGAAGATTTCTTATCTGGGATCTCTCTCTCTCTCTAAAAATTTCTCTCTCATCATTCCCCTCCCCCCCCTGCTCCCCTCCCTCTCTCTCTCTCTCTCTCTCTCTAGAACGAAAAACTCCTTTCTTTGCCCCGAGAAAGAGGAGAGAGAGAGAGAGAGAGACAGTGGCCCAGCAGATCGAGAGCTCCCCCAAAATCTCGTCTTCTCTGTTTCTTTTCCTTTTTCTGATTTTCCCTTCCCCCCTTTTTATTTTTCGCCCTTACCTCAGTGTGAGTGATGAGGATCTATGCTCGTCCAATGTTGTTGCGAGCGTTGCCCACTTCGCAGTTTCTCGTGTAATTACCAAATTCCTTGGCTTTTTCGTCTTTCCTCTTCCTCCCCTCCCCTTCAGTTCAGCTCGTTTATCCTTTGTCCTGTCTTATTAGTTGGGTCGTCCCCTCCTCCTCCTCCTCTTCTTCTTCTCTCTTTCTTTCTTTCTTTCTAGTGGGATTCTTGTCTCCCCGTTCCCTCCTCTGATGCGGAGACTCCGCGGAGTAATTGGATCCATGGAGGATGGTTTCCTGCGGTAAGAGGGAGCTGGCGGAGACGATGTTGCGCTGAGGTAAAAATTTCCTTCCCTCCCCTTTTTGTTCGCGGAATTTCGTTTCCTTGATTGTCACTGTCCGATGCTGCTAATTGGGTTTGGTTAGTTATCCCGTTCTTGTCCCTTTTCCTTCGGCCTGATTAAAGTCCTTGATTAGTTTGAGGTACGGATTTGCCTCTCTCATTGGGTTTCTGACTTGCGATTCTGTCCTAATTGGATGGAGCTCGGAGTCGATTCGTTATTTACTGCGGCTAATTTGTATAATTCTATTGTTCGGGGTGCGCGTGGCGGGCGGAATTTCGAGCGCCTCGTAATCGGTTTCGAGCGGAGTCGTCTCGCCTCCGCGGGATTATCTTTTGTTGCCTCATTTGAGTGTTTTTTTTCGCTTGGTAGACTAATTAAAAGAGTACCTGGAGTGGCTGTTCAATGATAGACTTCACTTGAGCTCAGTGTCTTAGTGATCTCCCCGAAATGCAGCCCCGACTGTTTAGTGATACAGCTAATGGCATTTTGTAGATTTCATGGAAGAAATTGAGTTAATGATAAGAAGTGGCCAGATTCTTGCTCGGATTGGTAATGAGATCGCGGGGATGATCTAGTGGTAGTGGGAAAGTGTGTTCACTTATTGTAAAGTGAGTGAAGTGCAGTTATGGTGAAATGAAGTGCTTCTGTAGATTGAGGGAGGAAATTTGCGGCGTGCATTCGTAGTCTAGTCTTATACAATGCATTTTTAGTTTGTTGCAAATAACGTTCCCTGAATTCTGGAGTTATCCGCATCCAGATATGATAAAAATGCTGCCGTCGGTTTAGCTTTTAGAAATTTTTAGACAGTGCTTTGCTCAAAAGTTGCATTTCTCCGCGCGACCCGTTTTCGTATATTCCTGTATACACCCGCACCAAGGGAAGTGAAAGGGGAAGGCAACGGTCAGCAACATATTTAGACCATTTTCAATATTTGTGTGACCAAGTTATTTACTGATCTGTTTTTTGGGCCCTAAGTTGTTTTTTGTTAAATTTGCTTGGCCATTTCCAAGGAATTTGATGTTATGCTCTTCGATTTCATTTTTGACAAACAAAGTTCCGCTCTTCAAGTTAAATTATGTATACATTTGGGAAAACATATGGATACAAATTTACAAATGTGACGTTACAATTGCTCGTTGGGTTTGGCACTGACTATGGGAAATGGATACAAATTTTCAAATGTGACGTTTCAATTGCTTGTTGGGTTTGGCACTGACTATGGGAATGCATTGTGGAAGCTAATTTGCAAGTTCAATCAACAGTTCCCCGATTAGTAGTAACCAATGGCATCTGAAAGGATATGGTATATAGCCGATTGTTTAATGTTTAGCCATCTATGTTGTGATTGATGGGCTGGTTGCTTTGTGCATGAGAAGTCGCCATGATTCACTGATCAAGAGAGTTGATACTCTTTTGCGTTGCAACTCTACTACTGGATGGACACATTTCTTACCTGAGAAATAGTTAGATAATGGAATGGGGATAGAGAGGTAATGTTGCTTGTTTCCGGGATAATCCTTGGGGTGCATTGGAATTTTGATGATGGAGTGCTGCTCTAGACAGAATATAAACTTCTTCTTTGCCTCTCGTTTGGTAAATATGTAAATTCAGATATGGAAGAATCTAAGCGAACAAAAATTTGAGAGATTCTTTGGGAATTAAGAAATCTTCATTCCAAATTGGTAGCAATCGATATCTTTGTCCATCCGAGATTCTGAAGTCTGATTGAATCTAATAATCATTATACTAAGGGAGGCTAACTACGTAAAATCTGTACTTTTTGAATACTACACTGGATATGGAACAAGCGGAAATCGCTCTCTCTCTCTCTCTCTCTCTCTCTCTCTCTCTCTCTCTCTGTCTCTCTCTCTATATGTGCGCTTTGGTTGGCGTGGCGTGTAAATTTTCAACTTTAAGTTGATTATGGGGATTTCTTATTGCAAGTATGTAGCTTTAGCCAATTCCTCTTCTCCTTTTGGTATGACAGATAATTATTTTTCCTTTTACTAGTATATCCTCGGATTTTATCTCGATTCCCCTTTTCTTTTGGGAACTCTACATCCTTAATTTGCTATTCTGCATATTTACTCGAAGTGTTCTTTTATCTACTGCCAGTGATGGGAACAGAAATCCAACTGAAAAGCAATCTTCCTGGACATCACTCAATGAGGGATCTGAATGAGGATTCTAACAGTTGTAGCTGGTCGCTGTTTAATGGAGAAAGGACCTTGCAGAATGGACATTATTACAATGGCTTTTTGCCGGGGGCAGCTGCAGATATTTATCCTGGATGTGGCAAAGATAGAGTGAAGCAAACAATGCTAAAGCACGAGGCCATATTTAAGAGCCAGGTAGGGTTATCGACATACTTGTCTTTGTTGTATCAGATCTTAAATTGGATTTTAATTTGATAAGCAGCGTTTTCATCCTTCATTTATTGATCAGTATTATGAATGGACTACTTCATTTACAAACATGTGTTGGTCTGTTCAATTTTCATGCTTAGAGAGCCTTTCATTAGATAGAGGCATGTAGAAGCGATTTCGGCCTTTTTCACTTATACAGTTGGTTCAAGAATTTTGACTACTTGAAGGAAACTCAAGATAAATTGTGCGTTGCTGGCCAACACATTAGAGAAATCATGGATTACTTCTCCAAACTGTGGTCACACATGCTTTGAATTTTTAAGAATATCCCCATTTTGGAACACATGGACTAAGAAATCGATTTTTTCTGTCATCATCCAGGTGCATGAACTACACCGTCTGTACAAAATACAGAAGGACCTGATGGATGATGTTAGAAGGAAAGAAGCACTAAAAACTCGGATGCCTGTTGAAACATCACTAGCATCAAGCCCTTTAAAGTCTCAAATTACATGTGAAGACACTCGGAGATGGCAAATCCCAAACTTCCCTGTTGCAAACCCTAGTTACGCTAGGCCATCTGCGGAAGGAATCCATTCTCCTATCGATTCTATGAAGGGACATAGCACGCCACCTGCTACTTTTGCTTCTCCAAATGGAGGTATCTTCAAGACTTCTGAGGCACCTGATTCCAGACCCTCAAAGGTCAGGAGAAAAATGTTTGACCTTCAACTTCCAGCTGATGAGTACATTGACACTGACGATCAAGAGCAGGTTGACCGTGGGAAAGACGTGTCAAATTTTCCTAATCAAGATGGTAAATTTGGCTTTTACAATGCTGTAAATATAATTCGTGGAGATAGTGGGAAGAGCGATAGTGTGGGACATGCTTCAGAGTCTGGTTTACATGCCAAAAAAAGGAATGTGGCTGACCTGAATCAACCTATTGAGGTTGATGAAACTAATGCCTCACCATATATTGATCTTGAGAGTCATGGTTTCCCTCATGGGGAGATCCGAGTTCAGGAGCACTCTTTTAAGCCGAAATCAATCAATCTAGGCTTACCTTATGATGATGCTCAAAGCTCTCATCGTGGAAGCAATAATGGGACTCTATTCAATTTACACCAGGTCAGCGAGAGGAATGGAAGGGGGTTGCTTTCGCATATGCTTGAAGCTGGTAAGGTTTTCTTTGGTGTAGCAATCAGGCTTATTGTTGCATATGCTTATGCTTCTCTTCTCATGAGATTCTCACCTTTTACTTTTTCCTCTTTAAAATTTTCTCTTCTTGGATAAAAGCTTCTGCATTGTATCATTTTCATGCTGCTTTGTCCGTACTTCTTTGCTTGCCTGCTTTGTCAAATGTCGGATGGCCTCCTTTGTTTTTGGTGATTTTTGTTATACAGACTACAACACTTCACAGAGATGGTTGCTTACCTCGAATGGTTGCCCCCAAAATAATTTTAGCGGTGATTAATGAAACCTCTATAAACCGTTTAACAGATTTTCAAGTAGTGGTTTGATCATTGAAATGCTAGAGAATGTGCATAACATGATTAGACAAGCTACTTGTGCGCGGGTCTTGTGGGTAAGATGTCAAATATGCGCATATGGATGGCAAGGTTGTTGTTTCAAGTGCTTTTGGTTGAATGACATTCTCGCTTTGTGATCTTATACATATTTTGGCCGTAATTCTGGAGTCAATGATCTCTTTGTCAACAGGGGACATCAAAGGCAAGAAATCTACTTCTCATGGTCTCCATATCCAAGGTTTGCTCAATGATGTCCATGACGCTCCTTACCATCAAACCGATCAAAGCACAGTCGGTCAAAGCAGAGAGAGGACCATTTGTGGCTTAGAAAACTCGGTAAATGCTCAGCGTCCAGAATCAGTAATGTCATCTTTGGAAAAAGCAGGCAAATTAAGCCAGAAGTCACTTCCGTTTCAAATGTCTCCATGCATAGTTTCATCCAGTACCCACGGTGCAAGTACCCAGCCAGGAGACCGGAACCATGCAATATATGGTGACAAGTGGCATGAGAGCGATGTTAGACCTAACAGAGGATTTGGGACGGAATTGCTCAATCAGAATGGCTCTAACAATGGGTCTTCTCTGGATTCCAAGGAACTATCCAGCCGCTTCCCAGTACTTAGCTATGACCAAGTTAAGTCTTTTGGCGATAGAAAGCTACCCTCAAAGGACTTCGTCGATCACACTTCTGCTAAATATCATGGATGTGCAAGTTCCATTAATGCTAACACTGGAAGAGATGTAGATCTGAACAGAGTACTTGGAAATGGTACATCTAATAGCTTGGTTCTGGCACAAGGGGGTGGAATCACAGATGCAGAGAACAAAAGAGAGGACCATGTCGTGATGCTGCCTTGGTTGAGGGCTAAAACAGCTTGCCAGAATGAGGTCACTGCGAGAAGCGATCTGAATTCTAGAGGATCAAATTTGCATCAACCTTCTTCATCTTCTATTTGCTTGACCAGCAATAATGATGCTGGAAAAGGTCCGACTCAAATGTTATCTCAGAGTACAAGATCAGTTTTGTGTTCCAATGAAATTGATGCTAAGAGGAGTGATGTTGGCGCATTCTCAAGTAATAAGAAGATTCTCGGGTTTCCGATATTCGAGAAGCCGCCTTTTTCGAAGAATGATTCATTTTCTCTTAACTCATCATCTGCATCTCTTCCACATTTGTCCGAAGGTGAAGTTGTGGAAAAAGAGAAGAAAGTGAGATTACTTGATATTAATTTGCCCTGTGATTCCGTATCTGAGTTGGGTAAGCCGACTCCTACAGGAACCCCTGCCGTGCAGAAAGGAATAGGTTCAACCGCGAGCTCTATTAGGCATCAAATCGATTTGAATCTATGTGTGAGTGATGATGAAAGTGTTGCGATGCCATCGGTTTCCACTACTTGTACCAATGGAAAGCGGATATCTGGGATAGATCTGGAGGCTCCTGTGGTTCCAGACAGTGAGGACATCATTTTTGACGTAGAGATAGCAGAAAAGGAAGGTGAAAGATCTACGCTCTCCTTGCAGCAGGAAAATGGACATCGACAGAATGAAACTGTGAAAGTAGCCGCAGAGACAATTGTTGCCATCTCATCAGCCAGCCATCAAAATTATCTGAACAAGATAAATAGCAGATCACCTGAGTCTCTGGAGGACCCACTCAACTGGTTTGCCGATATTGTTCTCTCTTGTGGAGATGGTATGGGGGGCAGGCTCGAAGCTGCTTCAAAAGCTATAAACAGACGGTATGATGGAGATTCCTCATCAGAAGAGATAGATTACTTCGAGTCCATGACACTGAAACTGACAGAAACAAAATCGGACGAATACCTGCCTAAATCATTCATCCCCGAAACCCTCAACGTCGACGAATCTGCCGCAGCCACTTCAACACCGAGTCGTCCCCGGCGGGGACAGGTGAGAAGAGGGAGGCAGCGGAGGGACTTCCAGAGGGATATCCTTCCAGGCCTAGCTTCTCTTTCTAGACATGAAGTAACTGAAGATCTTCAGACTTTTGGAGGGCTTATGAGAGCAACTGGCCATGTGTGGCAATCCGGATTGACGAGAAGGAACTCTAGGACTGGCTGTGCAAGGGGGAGACGGCGGTCCACTGGTAACCTCTCCTCTGTAACATCTGTGGATCCCAATTGCGCTCCGTTGATACAGCAGCTGAACAACATAGAGGTGGGAGTTGGGTTGGAAGAGAGGAGCCTAACTGGATGGGGAAAGACTACAAGGCGACCTCGTCGGCAAAGATGTCCAGCTGGTAATCCTCCATCACTCGCTTTAACATAATCCTGATAACAGGGTCGCTTTAATCACTCTGATAAGATGGAATTCCGGAGTCAGTTCCATGGTTGGGAGATGAAGGGATGGTATGGTCGTGAGGATTCTGTTTGTACATTCTTCACCAGAATTTGGTTCCGTGGAGTCTATTGTTGGCTACGAAACTCTGTATTATTCGTGAATAATGCTGCGGTATTCTTGTTGGGATAACATGGGCATCTCACCGTTTTTGCGTCTCCACTGTTCGTCGCCACCGTAGAAGACCATGTGCTTGGATTCAGTGGATGATTCTCTTGTAATGAAGGAGTGTATTGGCTCTCGGCGATTCGATTCACTTGTTTCATCTTTTCCGATTGGGTTGTGATGCCTGGATGAACAGTGAGACTTTGATACGGGATGCTAAGACATCGAAGTTGGAGTTGAAAGCCGTAGAAACTTTTTCTGGTGGGATTTTTCTTTTGAGTTGTTTCAGTTCCGTCCTCTTTACTATTGTGTAGATCATAGAAAGGGACCGGACTGAAAAGGGTAAAGTAGAACAAGAGACTGCTGTCCGAAACAGACCCTACCCGGCATTTGAGGATGGGTTTGGCATTGTTAAGGTGGCCATGGCTGTGTTTTTCACCTCTTGTTTTTCCATTTCTTCTTCTTCTTTTCTTTTTTAAGTTTTTTTGAGAAGGAAGTGCCTGGTGGGTAAGTTGTGCTCGCCCCTGCCGATAGCGATTCTCGTAAAGGTGGTGCTGATTTTCGGCAAATCGTGAATGCAATTTATCTTAGTTCCTGCGACCTGCAACTGATGTGCCAAGCCGGTGTCATTTTGTACATGAGAGGGCGTTGGGACAGGAGAGGCATTTCCAACAGTAAGGACAACATTGAGGGACTGTTCAATACTAAAGCTCAAGCCATGGCCTTTTGTCTATTGCATGTTGCGTTTTGGGATGTAATGTCCTGCTGATGTAAGAGACAGAAAAGAGGTGAACAGTATCTGGACCATGGGACATATATTACAGAACTAGTGCTCAAGTTTGTGTTCGAAGCATTTGCTGGACTGTCTTATAATTTCATCTTTGGTCGAGACAATTTTGCTTCGCTCTCGAGTTCTTTTCCGCCAGATTTTCGCGGTTGTTTCGAGGTTCCCAGGAAAAGGATTGGTCCGTACGTTTCTCTACTATGTGCTTGCATCGTATAGAGGATGTAAAGCTATCGATTTTTCTGGGGCCGAGTCAACCCGATATGATGATGTGAACCCGTTCGGGTTTAGTCGTGACGGCTTAGAGTCATTCGTCCATGAATAGGTAGTGCGGGCTGCCAATGCCTTGATCACCTAGCGAGATTTACCGTTTTTCAGATATCCACCATGATAACTTATGGATTAATTCACTCGAGATATTATATGCTTTGGTCTATCTCATATCGATTCTCATGATTTTCCATGTCAAAAGGATTTTTTTGTAAGTTAATTCTAGTTTCACGTATATAATCCGAGAATATTTTCTCCTTGTTTGGTATGCAACTCGGTTAATTCCTGCCTTATTTGCCATCCTAGAAGCCCGCAACAAGTAGCTGCTCCTTGTCGGGGCTCTCTCGCCTCAGCAATCACTTCCACCCTCGTCCGGGTTGTTCCGTCCACGGTGTATAAATGTTCGCCATTGTCACAAGAAAGAGTTGACCTCGAGTCCATGCACAAGCGATAAAACAATGGTCGAGGCGTGAGCAAACGACAGAGAGAGGGATTTTTAGTTTTCGTGGCCAATGGTTGTACTTTATAATTTTTTAAGATTGTGGTGTCCGGTTCATGTTTCTTTAAGCTTCCGCAAATCTTCATCTGACTGTCCATTAACGTGAGATTCACGATTAAATATGTTTGAAGTAAGTAACTGCTCGTGTTTTCGTAATCTGATAACCGCTGGATACGAGACATCCTTAACTTATAAAAAAGACAAACATCGACAAGTAAAATCACGTGCGATTAATAGTTTATGCTCCGTGTATTTTCGGAATGAATATTGATGAACGATTCCGCAAATACAGGGACAACAGCAAACTGACGTCAAAATTCGAGTGCCAAGATGTACTTTTCAATTTTCCTTTTTTTTTAATAACATCACGCGCGGGGCGCGGCGCGTGGGGGGGGGCATGAAGGGAGGCGATTGGTCGGGGGATCCTGCGATGTTCGAATCAATCACTTGATATGCGTCTCTGTCGGCGTCTGGGGAGTTTCGCATATCTCCTGGTCGTTCCTTTGGAAAGGTCAAAAGTTCGAGATTCTCTCTCCACCAATCGCATTCTCTCTCTCTCAAAAAAAATAAAAATAAAAATATATATATTTTATTATTATTTAAAAATAAAAAGGGGAAAAAATCGATTGGTGTGGGGCCCAGTTATATAATATCTGTCCCCTTTCCCTCCCCCCCGGGGCATCTAGCGGGCTTTCTCTCGTTCTTGGATTTTGTTAGGCCGAAACCGAAGAAAAAGAAAGAAATCGACAAAACTCTCAATTAATTTCGGGTCAACACCACCGCCAAATAAAAAAATCCACGACCTATGCCCACTGTGATGTCAATGCCTCGAATCCTTTTTTTTTTCTTTTTTTTTTTTCCTTTTTTGTGTTACCGAAAAACCCCAAACTTTCCCATTGTGACGCAAAACACCTGTAACCTTTTTTTTTTTTTTGGGTCGTCGAAATCCCCTGGCGTGACAAGTATGCCTCGGACGGAATCGAAATAGAGAGCGTGTACATCACACGCGTATAAGTTTGAGTTTTTTCTTGATACAAAAAAAGAATCGGAAGTATTCGTGTCACAATGAGCAAGTTTAAGATTTTTGGTGACACAAAAAAATATTGAATTTCGGATTTTCTGTGACATTTACCCAATAATTTTCAATGCATTATTTTCTCTCACCGTGCATGATTAAGTTTTAAAACTTCAAAAAATAAAATGCTTTCTTAATATACATATTTAATAAAATTTTCCCATATTTTTGTTCGTTTTTGTTTTTTTTTTTTTCCATATTTTGTTGATCCGCTTGTTTTTCCTCCCTCTTAAAAACCACGGACTCGTGGGGCCCCCGAGTTTTCCCGTTTTTTTTTCTCTTTCGGTCAATTCCTTTCTAGCTTTTCTCCGTTCTCCCTTTCCGCTTCGAGGAAAATTCGATAATGACCTTTGGGACAAATCGGACCAGATTCAACCGTAGCATACTCCTAGAAGGACACTCTTGTAATTTAGGCCGATCCTGGGGACAAAAAGAAATTAGAAACTACAAATCGCTATTGTAAAGATGGAAGGACAGCGTTGGTGCATCACCTGTCCTTGGGACAACTTTCGAGTCTCTCTTTACCTCCTAACTAACTAATGGGACCGGCCTTTACCGATTACACGTGGCGCGCCGTCACGGGCCATTAGGTCGATGATGAGGATTGACAATTACGTCATCGCCCTCCGACGTTCAAGAAGTTAATATTTCAGCTTGATTTCCGAAATGCGGCTACGGAAAAACGGGAGCTGCCAATGAGTTCGAGATCTCTAATAGAGCCTTTAGAATCGCCTTAGATAATTCTGACATTTCTCACAGTCCAAATGCTGACATTTGAGGAAGAAAAATGTATGGCGGTGCTTCCTAGATTGATCAAATAAGGCCCCATTTTGCAATCCTATAAAACGTTAGGTTTTGTCATGAATTTGTTAAATTTACTTTCCACGATACATGCGCACAACCATTCGCACTATGGATGAACGTATTCTGAGTCTGCTCATTCTGGCAAGCTAGTGATATTCGACATTCCACTCTGGATGAAAGAAGTCACGTGTCATTAGCATGACAACACCGATGCTCAAGTAGTAACTACATACAAGCAAGCAACTAGCAAATCAATGTCATTGACGCCATTCAGAGTTACTCACAGCGAAACAACCGCAAGCTAAGAGCGAAAAGCATCTTACTTCACCCCGATGGTCACGATACTGGGGAGCTCCGTATCAACACAGTCTATATGCCCAATTGAGGTACATGAAGCTACCTGCAGAAGATAAAAGTCCGTATGAGTGATCACCTGGCAACAGACACTGAGTTAATTAGTGTTGCATTAACGACTTTTGACCTCTTAGTCTCGGTCACCTGAACACGAATGGATAGATACCTGAACCCGTCACCCATTCAGGCAATGTCTCCATATTTTGGATCTTTTGGATCGATGGGCACTTCGTGACGAGGCCGATTGTATTTTTCACGCAGCTGCTTGATTGGGATGAAATCTCCAGCACCATCCATCCCGTAAAACAAAATGGAAATATAGGGATGGTCGAACCTATCCTGCAGATAAATCGAGTAGCCAACACAAGTCGATCAAAAGGCTGTCAAATATGCGGTGCAAGCATAATTTCAAGCACACACAGACTTTACCTTGTCTGGCTGGTCAGGAGCTACCAAATTCTCCTCAGGTACTGCAACATAATGCAAAGTTTTCATCAGTGGGCAGGCAATAAGGATGCATTGAGAGCAGAAACAATAGCATCGGGACTGAGCAGAAAAAGCACTCCATAAACGAGATGCCATCAGCAAAATCAATTACTGCTTAACTGAATGTGGTTTATATAACTGAGCAGTACCATATGTTACTAGTAAATTTGGATCCTCATATACATCGACCAAAACCTGAACAAGAAAAGTAAACTGAAGTAAGCCACCAAAAATGCTCCTGTTTTGAGCATCCAAGATATCCACTAAATCTATCATATTTACTATTAAGGACACACAGGGCAGAGGTCACAGTAGTATGAATGAACAGGTGTTCTATGGACTCTGCACAAAACTGAAACTCACTGGCAATATAACCCTTCTTATAACCTGATATACGTTACATGCCTTTTTATGGATATTCAACAAAAATAATTAGGTGGCTGCAAAGCTAACAACAGCAATGCTGATGCCCCACTTCAATTCTAAACTTTAAATACTCGCTTCTTTGTTCTTTGGGCGGCATTATTTGATTTCATCACATAAGTGAGTTTGAAATGGGGTTGGATAGGTGATGCAAATTACTCGGGAAGAATAGGCCAAGCTTCACAATCTCCACATGCTGCAAACCTGCTTATCAACATACAGAAATATACACCAGACGACTCGATCCCCATTGAAAGGAAGTCCCATCAACACCTAATTAGCTGGCAGATATTCTTTTCACTTTTGGACAGGAGAAGATGACCACAATTCATTTCATTTTGGCAAACACATTCGTTTTCATACTTTAGAATGGAGCATGACTTAGCTAAACTAAAGTCTGAACAGATGCCTTAGCATGGAGCCAGCCTTATCTTGTTTCAAGTTCACGGAAAAAAAAAGCCTTACGTAATAGGCAAGAAAGTCATTGGATTTGCCTCTCAAAGAACTTTTGTTTGGAGGACTATGCACATATAAGAAAGTCCGTTGGTCAAGAGCTGATTTGAGCACGCCAAGACTCTCAATCCAGATGACACTCATTTAAAGACATTATATGGCCTCCCTCAACTGTATTTTGGAAACCAATAATCGACAAATAACATACGCTCATAATTACTATTGGAAAGTGTCATGAAATTCCATTGTGTAGCGATATCGCACCACCAATAGACTAATAACCTGGTAAAATGGCTGATTGGAACCTCTATCCAACTTTTGAATCTGGGCAGCTTCCATCCAAGAATTCGATTCACAGCACACAGGATCCATCCCACAGACAACAGCTCGATATCCTGATACCGTAATATGAACTTTCAGAAACATAATCAGAACTAGGCAAAAAAAAGTTGAAGAAAACGTAAATTGAAGTAACTAGATTCTTAGTGCGACAGACTTGACGCGCACAAAATTTGAGAACTAGCAATCTGCTAGAGATTCAATACTGTAAGTGCGTCTACGGCATATATATAATAGGAAACTCATGTAACACATTTCTCTAGCAAGTACTTTAGTTCGGTAGCAACAAGTTTTACATATCTGTATCGAAAATACGAGTAGGAATAAAATAACAATAAGTTTCACCAGATTTCATCAGAAATACCTTTTACCACTATGATATTAAGTAATATGAGAGAACCATCATGGCTTCACATTACACAAATAAGAATGACAAACTGCGGCATGGAAGTCCAAATATTCACAAGAAAATACACAGAATTCTCATGCTATTTCCAAAGATAATGACTAGCACAGGAATCACGCAAACATAAATAACACGGGGTGGACAAAAAGGTGGAGCAAAGGCACTTCTATTTAACATATAAATGTACTGACAAGATGAAAAAAACTTGCTGGATGGTCCATATGTGCACGAAAAATATGTTCTCACATGATTTTTCTTTTGATAATTGATAAGCTAGGGATAAATCCTAGAAAATCAGAGGGTGATTATCAGCTCTGGTGGGTTTCCCTAAAATGTTCTCACATGATTGTATTAAAGTGAAAGATAAATGAAGGGTGTGTAGATCGTCTACCGAATACTTTATGCTTCACTTTCTGGCCCAAACGAAAAGCATATTGTGCATTCTCATATGCCAGGGCTTTGGCTGATGCAGCCAGTGAATCTGCCTCCAAGTTGGAAATTTCGTCTCGCAACTTAGATGCTAATTCATAATCCTCTCTCTCAACTGCTTTCTGCAAATCTGCACTGCATCAGAGCAAATGATACAATTCTGAAGTATCATAAAATTAGGAGGGAGGAGAATATAAAAGAAAGATTGATCAAACTAACCGTAACCGAATGATGCTTATGGCCTTATCTTGAGCTTCACTCTTTGAAGAGGATCCCCTTTTAGCTTCTTGCTGCTTGATAACTTCTGTTTCAACCTTCCAAGAAGTATGCCTTGCTCATATCAGTACAAGGACGCACAAGCACACCGCTGAACTCAATGTATAGTGTTCATGATAGAAGAGTCTAAAAGGTTATAATGGAAAAAAATGTGGCACAACTAATATCCTTCTTCCCTATAATCAATCAATGCAATAAGAATTCGTCATGAAGATAACTAATACATAACCAGAAAAAAGATTTAACCTCTGTAAGCTTGTTTCTCAGTTGTTGTGCAATATCGTACTGCTCCAAATTCAGCGCATACTGCCATTTGACAACACAGATATTGAGAAATATTCGAACGCCAAAAAATGCAGTGCTATTTTACAGACTGTACAGATCTAAATATCCAACATCTTTTTGAAGCTTTCTTTTTCAGCAAACAATAGAGTTACAGAATGATTAATGATTCTCCAACTGAGCATATCATAAAAATCAATCTTCACACATCCCATATTCCCAATCTTGAATCTCTGACCTCTGTAAAGCAAAATCTTCGGTGACATATCGCCAGACTACTTGATGACTTCTATCATAGTGTGCTAAAATAAAGCACATGACTGTTTTCTAACGCCCTTCAGAATGACCAATATATTACTGGGGCCATTTTGCATCTAAAACAACTGACTTTTTCATACTAAACAAGAAAGCAATGACATATATAAGATACCACTAACTGTGATTTGAAACTGGTATGCAGTCCGATATGAAAGTATCACCAATTCAAATTCTTGAGTGAACGTGAAACACCTGTACACGAGTTGCCAGGTCCAGCTGGAAAAAGAACATGAGTATATCTTCATTGGCACTCTCACTCTGCTCTGCGCTTGCATCCAACCCCTTTTCACCCCCTTTAAACAGCCATCCGGCTCTGACTGCAACTTTTTTTCTTTGCCTCGCTGCAATAAGGTTGGCAGAAAAGGAAAAACTCTGCATGCACCGACACTGACTAGACTGTCCATCTGACCCTGAAGTGGCGAATGTTCTCTTTGTCAAGTCGAATTGCCTCCTCCATGATGAATCCGTTGCATAAACTCCACTCTTTGCAGATGCCGTCGCAGAGCTCAGCGACAGAGCTAGCATTCTTTTGGCTACACCAGGCAAGCGCAGCACCTAATCCAGTCCGCTATACAGAAGTTTCTGTATCTGCAGTCCAAAAGAAACCACGTCAGAGACCATGCGAAAATCACCTCATCTCTCAGCTGATTCCAGTATCAATCTTACAGCCCACCCGCGTTTGCTCGGAGAATTCTATCAATTTTCATTTGCAATTCAACTAATTTTCAAACTAAAAGCGAGTCAACGCCGTATCTTGGTCTCAGAGGCAGCTGAAACCGATACCGATGCAGCCACAAAGCCTCAATTCCATTACAACGACTCGAGTGCATTCAATTGCCGAGGACGACACCACCCAACACATACCCAAATCTACACAAAATGACACGACACCCATCTTCGGATTCAACAAACAGAGGCGAAAGACTACAAACCTCCGGTCACATTTTTTGGTTGAATTCAAGAACCTAAAAATCAACCCAAGAAAAGAAGGAACAGAAATCAAGAACCTAAAGCAAAGATCACCAGCGCCGGTAACTCCACATTCTACAGCAAACCCGTTTCTTTTCCTTTCCTCGGGGAAACAAACGGAACCCGCGATCAAACCGAACGGAATGAGGACGCAAAAACCCAGAATTCGTACGGAACGAAAAGGAAACACTCGCATCAGTTCAAAGAAAAGCTTCTGATAATAGGGAGCACTCACCAGGAAGGCCAAGACCAAGAGTGGCTCTGGCGAGCTCAAGCTTCGTCCGCACAAATAAAACACCAAATAAAAATCGGTCCTTTTCTTTTCAAGAAAGCACCTTTTTTTTTTCCTTTGGCCCAGTTCAAAAACTGCAAGTAGAAAATATCTTCACAGCACTCCAGTGATCCAAAAGGAGGCGTATTTTACTACACAGAGAGTTTGGGAAATGACAGATGGAGAGATCACGTAAACTCGAAAAACACAAGAAATTCCGTACAAAAAACAAAAGTTTCAAAGGGTACAAAATAAAAGTTTCCCAGCCAAGTCTCCAGATTGATTTTTGATCCATTAAATTAAATTAAAGAACAATAGAGAAATCGCGACCCTTTTTGCCAATGCGATTATTTTTCAATAAGAAAGCTTTTGATATTCGCTTTGACGCCGCTTTCTGTAATTCCCCGTCTTGATCGATACCTCGAAAATATGGTGCCTATCGGTGTCAATTATGTGAATTTGATCTAGTATATACGTTGGGGCTTTGTGAGTGTTTTCTTTTTCTGATTTCCCGAATAATATGATTTTGACATAATAAATAATTGTCGCCTTTTCGAGTTTAAAGAACTTCTTTTTTTGTTCTTGCTTCACTCACCATTGTAAGCCAGTGAATTCATTGTATGAATTGTTCACATTGGCATCTCTCTTGCCCTTTCTTTCTCAGTTTTTCATTATTTTGCTCATTACACCATTAGGACTTTACCGAACTGAACCATCCATTTCATGGTTTCACTCAATCATCCATGTACCATGATTGAGGGGGGGAAATCATTTAAAGCGATTCAAGGGGGGAAAAAGATGGCTGAGTTCGCGGTCTCCATACGCTGGCGAAATCGACATGAGGAAGAATATAACAATGCTCCAGACAGGAGAGACAATTTCATTTTTAACTGGCAATAATGTTAGTACATACAATTAGAAGATCAATCTCTTCGGGAGCTCGAACCAAGTTCCGTGTTGTCCCAGATGTCCCGACCAGCATGGAAGAAAAAGAAATAGGGGATTTCGTTCTACTATTTTCTGCCGTGCTGACATGTTCCCGAAAATATTTTATAGGATACAAGAGATGCAAAGAATGAGAAAAATCACGACGGTGAAAAAAATAATTGTGCACGGACGAAAGATGATGCAGAATTTAACCTGCCCTTTTGCAATGCATGACGATGCGCAAAAGGCGAAAAAGAAACTCGACTGCTTTTGCTGAGGCCGGCTTTATCTCCTAAGAATGGTGCAAAATTGGCTGCTTACGCTCGCTTCTGTACATGATTTTTCCCAGGATCCACAATAAGGCCCTTTCCTCCATTCACTTCTAAATCATGCCTGCATTAACGAGGCTATTAAAGCAGGAAAACTTCATTTCCACTTTATAATGCGCAGGTGCAATAGTGGCACACACGGATCCCGTTTAGAGGAAAACATATCTTATCTTAGCCTGGTGCCAAATGGATGGCAACTTGCTTGTTTCAGACCTCTCAAAATCAGATTTACCCTCCATTGTCTCGACGACGAATAAAGATGAAATGAAATACCATAGATCTGTAATAAAGAGAAAATGCAATAGAAATGAAAAGGCAATGAAAACTCAACTGGAACACAAAGTCTGGAATAGTCAACTGGTCACGGGGAATATATCTGAACAATTGGAGCAGCCGATCCACATATACTACTTTCTTCCACACCTAGAAAGTAAAATATTGAGAGCCTTGTGTAAAATTGGGTTCCCACAGAGGGATCAGTCCTAAGTGGTGCACCAACACTAAAAGATTCACACATACCACATTGTCAACAAACCACTCCAGCGCCAAAATTGAAGCCTTCAAATGCAAATTTGGGTGAAGAACGTACAATGCCTGCATAGGGAAACAGATAACAATTAGCATTGCTTGACTGTTAACTTGGTTAAATAAAGTAACTCAAGAGTTGCATACATGCAGGTTTCGCTGATGTTTATGACCAAGTATCTGCTGTAACCTCCTCATCCATCCCAAATCTGGTATGCTGCTTATTCCGGAAAGAAGCATAAAATAGAAATTAGTGTTGGATCGCCAGAGTGTTGTAACTTACACTAATTGAACAGACATGGTGTTGTAAGTCTAGTAATCATGGCTAAAGCTGCAATTGAGCAACTAATTATCCTGAAAGGAATATATGTCTATTCAAGTTATTGTCTGTTTGCAGAAGAATTTTAATCTCTCGTGCATATATCCGTTTATAAGTTTGGTATAGTCTCATCCAAAAGTTACTCCCTGTTGAATGACAACAAGAAATTTTAAGTCAACATCTGAAAGAACAGGAGTAGGCAGGTTCTAGCACAGTGGCGAGAGAAACATCATGCAGGGAAATATCCAAATGTCTAAACCAACCAAAGAGGTGACTCCCAGACTCCCAAATACAATTATTCAAACACTTGGCCTGCAACTACCAAATACTCTGTCGCTCTGTCCTCACAAACCAGACGATGACTAAACATACAGTTTCTGTGCTCTTGGTGATCCTAAATGAAACAAAAGAAGGTAATAGGAGCTTTTTGCAAGGTTGAGGGGCTAATAAACTTGAACTGTATTAAAAAGTACAAAATTGAAGATATCAAGCCATTTTGCAGGGTAGGAGCAACTCTAGCATTATCATGATCTGCTAAGTCAAAGATTATCTCTTCCGTCTCTTGTTAATGTTTACTTCATAGCAAGCTCTAGACCTCGACCGGCCAGCGATCATGGAAATGATTCTTAAGCTTATTTTAATTAGTGTAATTGCCAAAGGAATTCAAGGATGAAAAGCACATCGCTGAACACAGAGCAATTTGACCAGGCAAATTCTATCATTATGAGGTAGTTATGCTACTGAGATCATAGGGATACTCACAGTTGCAATGATGCAGCCGAGTGGACATAAATGATAGAATAAGGTTTCTGTATCAAGGGTTCAAACTCCTGAAATTCAATGAGCAAGAAACTTCTTCAGCTCTCACAACTGAATTAACTTGAAACATCTACTGAGAATTATGAATAAGATAGCCACAGGAACAATTTAGCAGCAGATGCATGGAAGAAAAGTCGAAAAGCAAGATTAATGAAATTCATATGAGATTGTTCATACTATTGGCCTATTGGTTTACAAATAACTACCAGATAGTAAGAAAAAGGCCCTTAACATAACCAAAATACGATTCTGGGGAGTCCTATTATGCTAAATACTTGAGCCCGCAGTATGGGAAATGATGAAATTTAAGCACTGATTTGTTCCCTGAGCAGTTACTTCCCATCAATGCCGACAATATGTCCGTATCATTAAAATTTTGAAAAACTCCACAGTGAGCACATAACTCAAACTAGGCAAAACCAGGATCAGTGTCATGGTCCCAAGCGAAGTAAACACTTGGTCAAGACTTAGGACGTCAGTAAATAATATGACTTGATCTAAGTATAATTCTGAAACTGAAGCAACTGGAGCTTTCATACCTTTACTACATAGAAAATAAATCGCTCCAAATCAAGACAGCGCAGAAGAAAATGTGCTCCCACAACCACCATTACAGGGCGACCCTCGCTATCTACACCGCCACGGTATCTGATTACGAAACATTAGACCTAGTTAGACTGACTTTTCATCATAAATGAATATGCATCGAAGCTTATTCATCAATAATTTATCCTAGTGTTGTCAATGATGCAGACTTCGACATTTGCGCAGAAATGACCTTTAAGAACAAATTATAGTCCTTTTAGGTGAACGCTAACGAGGGAACACTGGGAAGTGCCAATCAAAGCCAGCGAAACATAAGGTTCATGAGATTGAAAGAAAGAGAATAAACCAAGAAATAATGAGCCGTCTCCTGCTTCATAAGTAATGATATCAAGACACTTATACCGTTGATCCCATCTGCTACAATCTACACTACATTTTTACAATCGTGATTGTAAAGAACATCAAAAGCAAGAAATTCGACATTATTCAGGTACAAGCCAGACTATAATCTGAAGAGATTAGATGCAATGCAGGAGGAGGCAGAAAAGGAAAATGAAGAGATGCTTACACAATTTTCATCTCAGTAATGTCAGAGAGATTAAGAGAAATAGCTTTAGAGAGGTAGCTTGAATGAAGCGTATACTCTTCAGAAGGAGTCAAAAGGGGTCCTGCAAGATCACCAAACCCAAAAAATTTGGCCCAGTTCCATCCCCTTCGTACCTCAACTTTTTTATCCCACTGCTCCTTCCTCCTCTGGTCTGGATCTTTACTTAACGACATGAAAGCAGGATCCAGGTATGAAGCCAAATATGATGAGTTCCTGGAGATGAACAATCTCTAGTCTTATCTCTCCATGGTTTAGATCTTAAACAAGAAGCATAAAATGGAGGACAAGGTTGACATGAAAAAACAAGAGCACTCACATCAGATATTTGCAACAGCCATTTTACATTGCTTGATTAATCTTTTCCTTTAAAGATATTGTCCTCTGAAATTCAAGGAAAAGTTTTATTTTTCAGAAAATGCAAAATATTATTCCTCGCATTATTGCATTAGTATTTGGATGGTCCACCTTTTGCATTGATAATGATTTAAAGCAATAATACCAGGAGGAGAAATGAAAAAACTAAGAGTAAAGGAACAGCAACCATGGACGAATATTAGGCGGATCACGATTGGTATGTAAAAAAGCCATAACGGTATCAGCTTTCATTAAGTGTCTCATCGGCAAATCATTTTTCATTTCCAATGAGAAAAGCCAAGATAAATGGTAACTTCCAGATAATGGGGGAAGAATGAAATGCCTGTTTATATCCATGATACTTCCAGTTTCTTCAAAACTTTAACCTGTGCTAGATTAACACCCTAACATCAAGAAAAGATGTTCCGAGAGAATGCTAAAAGTAAGACAATTCAGACTGCATGTCACTTATGCATCAATTTCGTATCACCATATAATTACAGGATGTGATCAAAGCAGTGGAGATGCGAATCAAGAAAATCAAAATAAAAGTGACCTCAAATGGATGGCACCTATAAGTGGCTATATTTAAGGGATCCCCAGGTACACTTTACCATGTTATTTTTTAATACGACCACACAAAATGATCAATGCCTAAACTTTGAAAAACAAAAAATATGGCATGATCAAATACCCACTAACCTTCTCGCCAAACCAATATTGGTGACAGGAACATCAACTGGGGCTTCAGGAGGATCTTTAGAAGCCTTTTTTGGCAAAGGTTTTATTCTTATTTTACGTTCATCTATGACTGTTTCACCATTCTCATCCCATAATTCTGCAGGAAGCTTTGATATGGCTACCTCCTCCTCATGCTTATCTCGTGGAAAGTAAAGAGGGAGCAATCTACATAAAAAAAATTTAACACAATGTAAACCCAAATTACCACCAAAAAAAGATAGAGCCTAAATCCACACTGCTAACCTACCTATCCTCTTAATCCGACCTCTTTCAAGGATACAAGACAAGTACTACGTACCTTTTGTAGATCTCAGTGTCAAATGCAGTAGTCGTGCAAAAGACAATGGCTGTGATTTCATCCTTTTGCTTCTCAAGAAAACGACGGATGGTTCCTGATAAACAAACAACGACAACTTTATTGCATAACTGCTTCTTATAATACAATATGCAGCACTGCTAGTGCTAATGCAAATAATTAGATCCTCCTTAAGCTATTACGGATTTCTTGCATGATGTAACAGAATAATGCATTCCTCCAGATTTTCTAAACCTCGTGAAGATAGAGAAATTGAAAAAAAGTCCCAATTAGCATTAGTTATGAGTAAAGTAAATGGAGAATTCTCTCTAAAAAAGCAGCTTCCCCTTTTCAGTACGATGGTTAATGACACAATCATTTCTTACCCTTTCGAGAGCTACCTTTCTTTTTCATTTGTTCTTTTTTTTTTGTGGGGGGGTGGGGAGGGGGGGGGGGGGGGGAGGGGGGGTTGGTTTGGTTTTGGGTGTCGGGGGAATATGTGTGAGTGTGGAGACTATCCCGAATTGAGGGAAACAAAAAAATATTGTACTGGACATCTTTTTCTGGAAATATCCAGACACAATCACCTCGATACCCCTTGATACCACATCCACAGGAACAGGAAAAAGCATATAGACTTTTAAAGAGTAAAAAACAGGAATATTAAGTTAAAGAAAAAATAAATTCCTAGACAAGCATACTCCAGGGATGCGAAAAGATGTCATGAGTACCAAGGAAAAAAATCTTTAAAGCCTAGCAAAAGGGTGAAGATGCAGGATAGATGGCTCACTTATAGCAACATGTGCAGCAGCTTCCCGTGGATAGTTCTTTGCCTCTGTGTATATACAATCCAAAGCGATGCTGCATGGTTATGTCACTCATGTAAGATTAAGACCAGTTGAGTATTACCTGAAGAAAGGACAACAAATCAGACAACTCTACAATTCAGTAAGTCTTATCTCCAACAACCTTTGAAGTTCGCTTTCAATAAGAAGTTCGAGGCAAGACCGGTAGCAATGACTCAAAGCATTCTCTGCGGCAGTATGATACTTTACAGCATATTTTGGACCCACAGTGTGAATCACCCTCCTGAGAACCCAGAAGAAATTCTGCTTTTAGCTTCTCTGCGAGTTTGATACCCATACGGAGAATGTTTCAAGTTTCTACTCTAAATTCTTTACAATTTTTTATTAGGAACTTGAAGACAATAATGTGAAAGGCCAGTGGAGTATTGACCTAGCGGGAAGGTTATATGCATTTGTAATTTTGGCCATCCCTGTTCGACATCCACCCTGGGTCACAAAAGAAATGCCAGATATAGGTCAGTGTCTGCCCCTGTAATTCTTCTTCTTTTCGCAAAAGGAGATCTCCTGATCGTACTTCATGAAGAAAATAAGCAGCCAAATGTACTGCTCTTCACATATTTATACGAAAAGCTACATGCTTCTGCTGGTATGCTACTTCAATTGCTCCATCTACATTTCTCCAGAAGAGGTCTTTTTAACATCATATATAGCGTGTAGTATTGAACATCAAAATGGGTGAAAGAAATTAGCCTCACAAGCATAGAACATTCTTCTGCGAGATCAGGTCCAGCTGCAGCATGTAAACCAGGACTACTGTGCGCATCATCCAAATTCTGCAGACAGCCAAAGTAATTGTATTTCAGACTATTTTTTTCGCTTAGAATTGTACATACACTACTGGTTGTGAAAAATCATACAGTATATTATGTCATTGGATTATACAAATATAGGATACAGATACCTACAGCACAGTTCACAAATCTAATTTTTGTCTCTCACTGACTTTGACTGGCTGATAATGCTTCCCTTAACAATTTGAGTATACCTTGACTCATGCAAATTTTAAGCAATTTAAGCAGCAACAACTTCATAATCACGCAAAATCAAACATTCTTCGTGGTAGTTAAATGGCATAGGAATCATTCATTGTATTGCTTTTCAGAAAAGGTGTAGGATAATCCTGAAATAGCATTGATCTCTATCCAAATTTAGCCAATATTACGGTAGCAAGGCTCTTTAATTTCCTCGGGTGCAGGTTGCTCTATAGCTGAATTGCATCTAATACAACCTAGGCATACCTAAAAGCGATTTTGCAGCATAAGCATAGGCAATGAACACGGAGTCCGGTCTAATAAAACCAAAAATCCATTTGGCCTAGTAAAGATGCTAAAAGACTGGAGTGCACAGCATGTTGATCACCTCATTCGTAGAGTTCACGACCGCATCCACCTCGAGAGTCCACGGGCTGCCCCTCCAAATGTATATCTTCTCGTTGATCTCATGGTCCACGGGAAACCGAGAAACCATCCCGTTGCCCGCCATATCCGCCCCGGAAATCGATGTCAGAGGATCGCCAAAGTACGGGTTACAGAACGCAGCATCTCCATTCTCATCCTCGAGCGACGACCCCTGCTCCACATCAATCCACCTGGGAACTTTATCCAGGCTCACCGCATTCTTCCCGTTCTCCATCTCCGCCGTCGCCGCCGCCGCCGTGCGTTTTCGCGGAAAGAAAGAAAGGAGGAAAACCAAACAATGCCGTCAATTTCTCACCCCCTTCATCTCCAAACTAACCGTCGCCGTCGCACGAGAGGCGACCAACACCAATTCAGATGCGCCGGCCAGTCAAATTCTCCGCATCCCTGCTGACAATCCAAACACGCAAGCACGCACGCACGCACGCGCGCACAGCGATCAGGATCAGGCAATCAAAGCAAATCAGGCCAAAAACTCGTCCCCGCTCAAGATCTAGAAATCGTCACGCGGACAGCGCGAAACCCGACGACCGCGCGAGCGCCAAACTGCACACGCCGATCACAAGCTATTCGCGCCTCGCCCGGCGGAGATATAACGCGAGGGAGGAGGAGGAAGAAGAAGCGAGATCGAAGGAGTGGGAGTGATCGAATGCAATTATTGGCAAAAATGCGAGGCGGAAATGGGCTCCTTACCAGAGCGAAATGGCGACGACATTGAATGATCTTTGGATTTTGCGACAGCGACAGCTCTCGCAATTACGGGATTGTCGTCTTCTTCTGTTTTTTTTCTTTCCTGAGCGTCCTGTGCGACGGACAGCTCTTACGTTGCGTGCGATCGATCGGCTTCTGTTATTTTTTAATTTTATTTTTTTCCCGCATTAACCAGAAATAAATCTGGGAGTTGGGATCGGTTAAACATGAAATTGTTACCTAAATCTGTTTTGGGACATGATGGAGAAGGGCTTGTTGTTTGTTCAGATTGTCCTTTTTACTTTTCCTCTGTGCCCTATCACTCCTCCTCACGTAAATAATGGGCCTAATTAAAAAAAAAAGCACTAACTTTAAGTAGAGGGACAATTTTGGCCCGACCTTTTTTTTATTTCATAAAAAAGCACAAATTTTAAGTTGATGGATAATTCTGGCCTAAACTTTTTTTTGTCTCGTAAAAAAGCACTAACTTTAGGTTGAGTGACAATTTTAGCCTCAATTTCTTTTTGTCTCATAAAAAATCACCAACTTTTACCATGATCCCAAATCTGATCCCCCGTTGACTTTCCCCATTGTTTGAGAAAGAAAGTTACAGTGGTGAGCTCGGCGAATCTCGTCCATGGCGTCTGTCAACAGGCGCTGGTCAACTTCAGATTACGTCTGGTTAAAGAGATTCAATCTGGAGATATATTTGACTTGCCGGTGAAGTGAAAGAGACGAACAATTTCACTGTTATTCTTCAAATTGTGGCTCAAAGAATAAGATAATGAATATTACTTTAAATCCAGTCAGCAAGCCACGTGGATTTATTACTAAAATGGAATAGTCAAGGTAGATAATCAATGGTTCTAAGTTAATGGGGTCAGATTTGGGATTTAAGTGAAAGTTGGTGCTTTTTTATGAGACAAAAAAAAGTTGGAGCCAAAATTGTCACTTAACCTAAAGTTGGTGCTTTTTACGAGACAAAAAAAAGTTCAGGCCAAAATTGTCCTTCGACCTAAAGTTGGAGCTTTTTTACGGGACAAAAAAAAGTTCAACCCAGAATTGTCTCTCGAACTAAAATTAGTGCTTTTTTTTGGAATTAACCCAAATAAATGCTAATCTTAACTTAAACAACCCCATATCAATACTTACTGCTCCAAACGGACCCGTGGCTAAGCTAATTTCGAACTTTCGGATAGCGGGTGATCTAGATTCAGCCAAATAGAATTGTGCTCGATAAGGAGAAGCGAGCTTTCGATCCTGATCCTTGTAGTGCCAAAGGCGCGGGGGCTAATAACCATTTACTTCCATAACTTTTTAGCGTAAAAAAAGTAACTTTTTTTTTCACGCACGCCATGTAAATCTTGAAAGTAAGCAAATTCGCCCTGCACTATAAAAAAGGGGAAAGAAAAACAGATGGGTTTGACCCTATAAGGCTATATATTTGCCAAATGCAATTCCATAATGATCTAAGGCTATATATTTGCCAAATGCAATTCCATAATGATCTTTTATCACCATGGAAAAGTGTGATTATGACTCTGGATCGTGTATAGCATTCAATGAGAATATTCCCGGGGAACCTCCTCGCACCTCACTCCACAAATTTAAACTGTAAAATGATATGCCAGATTGAGATCAACCCTGAGTTCACCTTCAGCAAAAAGCATATGCGAATCGAATCTCCCTACTCGTCTTGTCCAAAGGGACAGAGCGATTAGACGCGATCTTAGTGATCTTAGTCAAGACGGCTGAGAAACGGAGGGCGTGGTCAGCCACGGCTACTCTTTTGCCTTGGCTAATTGTAATGCTCTGCTGACTACACAGTATTACGTATCGGTTGCGAACTCGATTAGAGATTGCGATTTTCATCACCTGTTGAAAGAACCGCGGGGAAGTGATATCGAACTCGATCGGTGCGCAGTACCGGGCTCGAATTCATGACGTGAAGCTCGGGAAGCAGCATATAAGCTACAATGAGCTAAATCACCGTTATGCATGACTAGTATTACTCGTCTGGATCAGATCCGCATCACACATTACAGGGAAGGAAGAGGAAACAGAGGGTTGTTTGCTGTGAAACCGGGTGGCGTGATCGACCAACGAACAACCTGACTGGTTAACAGGGTCGTTGCATCTCCAGTTGGAAAAGTGAAGAGACTCCCTTCATTTTACGCCGGCCTTCTGCTTTAACATGGCAATGAAGTTTTCTCGATCTTCCGGAGACATAGCTTCTGCCGAACAATCTCCCACGCCCCACTCGGCTCCGCGGATGCAGTATTTGTCTTGTATCTCTTGCTTGTTCCTGAAACATGTATCCTGTCTCTGAGAGAGAGAGAGAGAGAGAGAGAGAGAGAGAGAGCTTGCTTCTAATAGAGACAGCTCGGTGAACATAAACTGGGAAGTGTAATTATGAAATACAAAGAAAAAGATGCAAACAATGGAATGACGGGCGGAGTTATTCTAGCTCTTTTCCCTCTCATCAGCTCATTCAGTCCATAGTCTCTCTCTCTCTCTCTCTCTCTCCAATTACCTAAACAACTGCCTCAACCAGATTTGATTTGTGAAGGCAACCACGGGGATACTCCTTGAGCATAGAACCATGTTGGATATAATAAGACTGGCTTGCAAGTTCGACATACGTTCGTCACTTCGCTTCATATACTAATTTTCTGAACTAGTCTAGTTCACCACTACACCTAGCATCACTCATTGCCACATAACCCCGACAATTTGCCACCCCGCCACACCTTTTTTCACCATCACGTGATCGCAACTTACGAATTCCGAAAGAGAATGGAGACCAGAAGCTTACTTCTCCTTATTGAGCTTCGACTGCTCCAGCAGCTTCTTGAGCAGAGGAGATTGCTTGAACCTTTCATCAAATTCTGCGTACTTCTTCTGGTTCTCTTCTGCCAAAGCACACCTCGACGTCTTTTAATCGCGGCATTAGCCAAATCAAGGTGACGCAACACAATACACGATGAAGTGAAGACAATTACCGTTAAACCGTTCGAGAAACTCAATCTTAGGCAATTCAGGGCCAGGGACAGACTCCATTCCAGGCAATCCAGAGAGAAATCCGGCTTTAGCTGCAACAGCAGGAAAATATAAATGCTTCAAACATCCGCATATCCCTAATCCTCTACAAACGTCGATTGCCCGTGCCTCTTAATTTTACCACGCAAAAACATGGTGTAATTTCAAGAAGTGCAAGAGCAAACCAGATTCTTCAATCATATCAGAAGCTGTGCAAGAATAAGACAAGAAGTTTTTCAACTTCAGTGCATACATCCCCAACTAAAACACCAGTCCAGGTTGTGTTTCTTCGAGTGCACCACGCACATCCACATCTTCTACACGTGATTCTACTCGCACCAACATCTTCTCCCGTGGCCAATGAAATGAAGCACATACCTTACACGACCAACCCGGTTGCATCGACTAATAACAAGGGCGAACAATCGACCAATGGGACCACTTAACTCTAGATGCATCCGCTATCCAAAAACTTAGCACGCCAAGTACCGCAACACGCCAACAGGCATGCAGCCCATCTGGTAAAGGGATTAGGGATGGGGCCGGAGACCAGGTCCCGGGTTCGATCCCCGTTAGCACAGCACACACCCGTATGTACATAAAAAAGGCGGGGCACAAAAAAAAAGGCACCGCGGGCCGCGCAAGCCTTCTGTAATGGATGCACATTTGTGACCACAACCTAATCTTTTTCAACAGTAGAAGCTGGAAGCCACGCTCCCCACTCCCCCCACCCCATTGACCAGACATGCAGTATGCAGAAGCGGAGAGAGCGCGAGTCAAAATTCGAATATGCTCTAGATACACGAAACGCGAGACGACGACGCCGCCTCGAGTCAAGCGCAAAACGAACCCATATTGAGAAAAGCGCCCGTAACCGTACCTGGATTCGACCACAAGAGGATGGCGAGCGAGGCAGCGAGAGGGGCGGTTTTGCGAAGAGGGCGGACGGGGCGTGATGACGACGGCGCGCGGGACGAAGAAGAACATAGAGCAGAAGAAGAGGTTGAAGAAGAAGAAGAGGAGGAGGAGCGAGAAGCGTCGGAGAAGGTGTTTGCGGACAGAATGGGAGTGCAATCCGCGAGTTTATCTTTGGGTTTGGACGGGATTTTACAGTGCAGGCTCGAGAGAGGTGAGAGCAAAGATGAGCCCATGACTTGGGAAGAGAGAGAGAGAGAGAGAGAGAGGGAGATAAGAGGCGAAGAAACTTCTCTTTTCCGTGGTTTTAGGGGCAGCCTCTCTCTCTCTCTCTCTCTTCCTACTTCTCAGCAAAGATGAATTTTATTTTATTTTTCTTTATTCGACAAAAATGGCTTCAATAATATAAAAGGTTTCGAGAAAATGACACAAATGTTAACTGAATTTTATCTCAATATGCAATGTGGTCCATAAACTTTTAATTTATTTAATTTAGTCCCTGAATTTTAGCCGAATGTGCAATGTCGTTCTTGAACTTTCAATTTATTCAATGTGGTCCCTAAACTTTTGGTTTGTATTCAGTCTAGTCCCTAAATTAATGAAAGAACAATATTGAATTATAGTCTATGGACTAAATTGAATATGCATAAAAAATTTAAGGATTACATTGAACAATGATGACATCGCACACTTGTACAGTTCAGTGATTACATTGAACAAATTAAAAGTTCATGGATCATATTGCGTATTGGACCAAAGTTCAAAGACCTTTTGTGCCATTATCTCAAAAGTTTTAGACAAATCAATCTAACGATTTATGTAAATTATACACATCAAAAAACAACGATCAAAATCATGATTCCCATTCAGTATTTGCGATTCAACCATGCATTGATTATGACTTCTTTTGTTTCACTAAAAACATTTTTTGGGAAAACATTTTTCTCATTTTTCGGCATTTGGACAACGGAAAAGATTTCTTAGTCAATGGAAAAAATATGCTTTAAATTGAGAAAAATGATTTTCTCTTTAAAAAATCGAAAATCATTTTTCCAAATATATAACTAGATATCGATTTTTGGATCAGAAATTCTACTTCACATCTGGGTCCATTGAGACCATCAATGCCAGGCTTGGGTCTTCGCCAAGCCCGGGACCCCAGTGCCCGTGCCCAGATCCCCAACGCTGAGGTCCCGACCTCCCTGGCCTTGATGAACTCAGATTCAAGCGGCGGGCACTTGGTCTCAAGTGTCGGGGTTTGTAGCCCGATCTCGATGGACTCGGGTATGGGCGCTGGTGCCAAGGACGCACGGCGCCAGGCATGAGGCTTGGCCTTTGTTGCCCTGGGACCCATGCCTGTGCTCGTGCTTAGGATCTCAGTGTTTGTGCTCGATTCCCAAACTGCTTATGCACAAATCACTAACATCCGAATAATTTATGTTTATTTAGACTTACCAAATGACCAGCCAAACACCAAAAAATATATCATTTTTTTGAAAAAAAACTTTAATGTCACATTTTTCACAAAACAAATGAAACCTACTCTTTAATTGATTATATCCATCCCACAGTTCACAGAATGAACCATTCCACACTTTTTCAAAATCCATTTTTGCGATTATTAGTGATTGATACCACGTGCTCGTAGCACAAAATAAACGAACTATTCAATCCAAGCAACAACAGCAGTTCACTGAAGAGAGAATTCCATTTCTTTTCTCCAACATAACAAGGTCGAAAATCATGAGCAGGAACGATTGATGGCTATATAACCAGATAGTACACGATATCAAGTTAACTGAAACGTCAGGATACAAGTCTCTGCATCTACTTGCCAAAATATTTCCGATTTTGCACAATCTGTTATAAAAAGTGGGGGATAATTAAATCGCAAAAAGGATCATCCTTCGATCATGGCTTTCGCGGCGTCGATAAGTGCTGGTCTCAAGTCATTCGATGCCCTGCCAAGCACGGTGTATCCTTCTTTATCTTCCACGTCTACGTCTGCTCCGTGCCTTATCAACAGCAGAGCCACCTGACCATCGATAGATCAACATAGAACAAGTAAAGGACCCGATGCGGTTCTCGACTTTAAAAGCAGAAATCCTGACCTCAGTCAGTTCGAGCTCATGCAAGCCTTTGCTCCAGCAATATCAACAGGATTATGTATATGGTTATTTACAGATTTGAATATGAATAGCCTAATTGGCGATTCTATCTGATGGAACAATTCGAAGGAAGATAGGACAGGAAGGTGAAAAGCCTCATCCCACCTCGATTTCTCTCATTAAAGGAGGGATCTAGTCAACTCAAATTTATGCATCCCTGTAACTATCCAAAAGACTCGGCACTTAGAGATTTAATTTGAATACCTACTAATAGATATATGTATGTATATACTAGTATGCAGATGCGCATGTAAAATTGTAACTAGCCACTAATTCAGTGTAAAACAAAGCAAATTGCATGACTACTTCACTATTGTCCAGCAAACAGACCTCTTTATTGTAGCAAATTACTGCAGCCATCAGAGGCGTTTGGCCTGCTTTATCAACAGGGTCAACCTCAGCTCCTTCCTCGATCAGAAGTTCACACATTTGTGAGTTCCCCGTGCTGGCAGCACGATGCAATGGAGTGCTCCCTACCTGAAAGCTACACATGTCAAGCAATTGATGAATGCCAAAAAATAAACAACACCAAATGTTTTCAGTTCCAAATGAACACATATGGAGTAAGGCAATTGTGTGATTACTGACCTTGTCCTTTGCATTGATCTTTGCACCATGTGACATAAGAATTTCAGCGACTTTCAACCATCCTTTGCTGGCGGCATAATGAAGAGCAGTGCGTCCACCATCATTCTTTAAGTTAACATCAGCTCCTGCAAAAAAACACCATTACGTGACAACAGAATTATGTTAAGACAAGCGGAAAGGGACATTTCTTTCTCCAGCATGTATGGAAGGAACTGAATGAAGGTTGTTTATATAAGAGGACACAACAAGGAACTCAGCATGATAATGTGCCATCTATCCTTAGCTACTGAGGTTAGATGCAAATACACTCACAAGAGTAAGCAGCCTTCTCTTTCGTCTACCTAGACAAGCCATAAATGGTTTAAATAAATTCTCACAGTACACAATGGCTGCGAACAAAATTGATTCGCAAGCCTGGTCACTGAAATGTGAGCATGAAGCAGTTACTAAGACTGAAACACTCACATGCCAAACGATCCATATGGCTTGAGTGATTCATTGTTTTACAAGTCCAAGTTAGCATATAAACACTTTCACCATGTCCACATAGATTGAATTAGTATTTCCCCCGCCCTACCACAAACGCTGAGTCTGAACAGCACTAAAGCCTGACTACACCAGTCGACTGTATTTTCAGCAAGGAGAATGGTGTCTTAACAGTGAACCCTGATAAAAAGAATCCTCAAGTCCTCCATTTACCCTGTAAAAATGAACAATTGCCTGACACTACTCCACTTCACAAGCTGGAGATGCACTACGATACATACCAACCAAGGCCTTACACAACATCGAAAGAATTCGACCAACAGTTGAAAATTTCGCTTAAATGGCTTCAGCCTGCTTTCGATTTTCAAAGGCTTTCTAACTATATAAGAATTATCCTAGCAAATTAAGAGCGAAAGGGAAAGCACACAAATCCATCTTCGTGTCCGTGTACTCGACCAATTTTCAGATTCATGAGCACATTAGGGAACTCGCAGACATACTTGCCTTTCCTCAACAAGATCTCCACAATCTGCACATTCCCAATGCTCGCCGCAGAATGAAGCGGGGCCCAACCTTCTTCATCTTTGCTGTTTATCACACTTGTCGACTGATCGGCATCTGACAGTACATCCACTATCTGATGCATTCGAATGAAAAGCAATTCAACGCAAAGCAATCTAGTGAGTGGATTAAACAAACATCATGAACAAAGAAACAGCCAAACATATTTCACAATAAGCCAAGCAAATCGGTAATCAAATGATTTATACTGTCATTTACATGATCTCTTGGAAACCCATTGAGCAAAGATCGATTGCGATTGTACATAGGCTATCATACAACATATATTATGGGTGCCCTAAACGCTCATGGTACCATTGAATATGCAAATCGAAACTATGAAAGCCTTCTACAATAAGCATGCTCTCTAGACATCAAAATCTTCAAAAACTAATGTGCTGCATATGTAGATTGCAGCACAGATTCCGGTAATTATACAAATACCCTATGTAATTGATGGCGATTGAAAGTGCCTCTCAAACTTTAGATAGTGAAAAACCATGTAATCACTGAGCACGCTGACCCGAAATTTTTATGGTTACTGCCCGTGTCCCTTATCTTTGGTAAATTTGCTAAGCTTATCCACATCTCAGACTTAGACATTGATTCTTGTTCCCCGCTTGCGCCTCGAGTTTTCGGCACAAAATCCGAATCAAGACTATCTACCGGTGCAAGATCATCCACACCGCGATGAGGAAATACAGAGAATTGCTTCTTCTAGAATCTAGACCTCTGGTCCAAGAGGCTATAGCCTCACCAACTCAGGCTAATCCAACTGGACTCTGACGCTCTTCTGTGGCAATCGCTAACGAAGCTAAAACGACTCGACCAAAAAGCGAAGCACCTCATCTCAACTCGCTGGACTTCCGGAGCGCGCGCAAAAGGGAAGAAGATACCTCGGCGTGACCAGAGGAAGCGGCGACGTGGAGGAGGGAGCGGCCGTCCTCGTTTCGGAGGGAGAGCGCCCTGGCGAGCTGGTCCCGCGCGAGCGCTCCGAACGCCGCCGGATCCCCGCCCTCGGCGGCCTTGAAGAGGTCCTCGTCCCCGATCGGCAGCTGCTGCCCTGGCTTCGCGCTCGGAGCATCATCGATCTCCATTTCCATGGCGGCGCGTGCGGAATTTCGTCCGATCTACGACGGGTTCTCGAAAGGCGAGGGTTTCTTTGCGTTTGACCAAAAGGTCAGCCGTTCCGGCGACTTTGATTGGCTCGCGCCCGTGCGCTCATGCGGGAGCAGATGATAACGGCTGTAGAGAATCCCGTTCGCCAGATAATCGTAACGTGACAAAAAGAGGGTAAGACAATCTCAATGATAATCAGTAGTTTTACATGTTAATTATAGTATACTTCTCTAGAAATTATGGGGACGAAGAAACGGCACGGAGATTATCAATCAATGTACGGAAAAAAAGAAAAGAACTAAATACGACCACGGAAATGGATTTCCAGAGCGCCTTGACCACGGCATCGAATTCTGAGCGGTATCAGGAAAGCGGGCCGATCGGAGCTCGCCACTCTCGGCAACTTAAGGGAAGGGAGGTGATCATCTCAGAGGGGTGACCTGAAAACACAGGCGCTGAAAAAAACGGTGCGGGGTCGAATCGTACGAACAGAATACGAGTGTACACGCAGAGGGAGCAGCGCCTGTGTTAGCCGGGTCACCTATCGGAGATGCTTCCCTTTTCTAGGTACTTGTGGGTGGTGGCGGGTCTCTTGCCTCGAGGCTTTCTTATATACAGAGGAAAGAGTTTCGAAGCTCGAGTGCTCACGACAATGTGTCACTAGAATGTGCTCATCCTAGCGACACCCAGTGAAACTGTAGCCATCGAGCATCGAACAGATGTGCTGTCCCCAGCTTTGTCGTATATGGAGGTGCACGAGACGAATCATCCCATCTTCCCCATTGCAAAGAACGGGACCCGCGTGTGGTCAATCAGATTTCGCAGTCAGATGAGCTCACCAGAACGAAATCTTGGGCATCTTTCTTGACTTGGCAAAGGGGGGGGATCGGAGCGGGGTTCCGCTCTGGCCTCGGCGGTGTATCATCCCTTCGAGTCATTTAGGAATGTGAAGCAGAAGCGAGACTTGCTCGGTGCAAGGAACTGCCTCTTGTCTTAAGTAACCGAGTCTGATTTTGCTGGGCACGTGAATGAGACTCGCAAGTGAACAATGGGCAAGAAATAGTGTAATTCCTCAGACCGTGAGACGTGCGAAACAACAATCCACATTTTGTGTACCAACCAGAACAAAGAAAGTTTCTTGGGTACTGGGAAGATCTCTCCGACTTAAAAAATGACTTTACCTCTAACCAGCTAATCTAAATCCTAGGAGCTTATCTCATCTCTAGAAACCGTCGTCCATCCAGGAGACTTTGGGGGGAAGGAAACTTTCAAGCGCATGCCGGTGCCCTGAAATCCCTGAGGGTTGCATACACTATCGAATCTGCCGCCACAGCGATCGGCGAGGACGGGTCGACGAGCTCCGGTTTCATCTCGGGTATGTCCGACGATTCGGTGAGCTCCAGCGGGGTCCCGTTCAGGAGCAGCACGTCGCTCTGGATGTTCCCGTCCTTCGGCGTCAAATGGAACTCTTCTCTAGGTTGTCTGCCGCCGGAAGTCTGCTCGACCGCTGGATATATATTCACGTCGTTGACGACGGATACGTTGAAGGAAGTCGAGTTTGACATGTTGATCAGGATGAGGGTCACGCCAGGCTGAACGGGAAATATTTCTGAGTGGTCAGAAAATTTATGCAGAAATGAGCATTGGACAATTATTAGGAAGAAGGGGGTTGTCGATAGCAACACGTGCTCGACCTTTCCCGAAGTGAATTTACCTTGTCCTTCGAGCAATGAGAATATGCGCGTAAATGAGCAGAACCGTCATGCGTCGTCGCGAGGACTTGTTTCCCCATCAGGCGATGCCACAGGAGCGCGCTGATTGGATAGAACAGGATCGATTACACGATTGAAAAGGAAAATGAGAATCGTGCCGTAATCGGACAACAAAGGCATAATACGCAAAGTTAATTGCCGATGCCGAGGCAATCTACTGACCCATAATAATCAGGGTTTGGGATAAAACTCGTGGTGTTGAGGAGACCGTAGTTTCCGCCGATCAAAGCCTGTCTGCAGAAGACCTTGTGGTTGAACTGGGATGTCATGCCCAACTGATCCAAGTACCTGTGTTTTTGCTCATAAAACACAGAGTTAAACTTCGTTCCATAATTGTTCTCAATCTGTAATTCTCTTATTTTCGTAAGGGTCCTCACCAGAATCCATTGGCGAAGGTGTGTGAAACGTCCTTGCCACCGTTGTTATAAGCCCCACCTGCTTCCCCAACCCAGGGGCCCGACCACGGTCCGAATCGCTCCGCAGTTCTCATGACATCCTTATGCGTCTGAGCGATCTCGTCCAGGAAGTATGGGTCCTGAACCTTGTCAATGAGAGTCGGATCAACACCTGCATGGAGGAAATGCGGTAATGACTTTATCCTCGACTTGCAGGATGTAAGTAATATCAAGCTGGAGGTTCCTGATGGCTTGGTATGTGTACCTGCGCCGAGGTTGTATATATGGTGGGTTAAACCGTCAACTATGTTGGGTCCTGAGACCTGGAGGAAGGTCTCGAACCACTCCTGGTCGTAAAATCCAGCCGGACCCAAGACCTTCGGCCTCGTGGTAGGGTCTGGGTACAATTCCTCAATGATGTTCTTGAGCACGATCATGTCTTTTCCGTACTGGTCAGCGTCAACTCTTCCAGAAACCCCAGATCCACAGAGCTCATTGCCTGATCAAATAAAATGCAGAACAGTTAAGTCAGGTGATGTACGCGGATACTAAGAAGAGTACATAAACTTTGACTTAGGCTTCAAGTTACCGAGTTCATATGAGTCGATCTTGTATCCTTTGGAGATGGTGTAACTCATGAGATCGCGGGCGTTCTGCGGATCCCAGTCACCGATGAAATGGTCGCGATCGTCAGGTGACCTTCGCCTTCCAATGAGAGCATTCAAGCCGAAAGTCAATGCAGCTCTGCGAAGCAATTGGATGAGTATTCAGAGATTTTCTTCTTTTATCCTCTAGGATTTCATTTGTGGCTTGAGAAGTTCGATGATGCCTATAAATATCGTCAAAGAAATCTTACCCGGTCTCATTCAACAACTCATTAAGCTGATCCCACCGGTCCATCTTGAGGCAACCCCGGCTGAACCCAAACATGCCGTCGGACCGCTTCTTGAAGTGGGGGCATTTGCGCACCGGCCTTGCGTCTCCGACCTTGTAAATGACCTGGTCTTGCAACGAGCCTCCGACTCTGATCCTCAGAGGATTGAAAGCTGTAATGCCACACAACAGGTAAGCCCTTTCGCGCGCAAAATTCTCTAGGATCGGAACAGTACCAATAGATCAAGGAGCACGTTCTTCGATCCTAGAGTAGCAAAACAGCAACTTCCTATTTCACTGGTGGCTCCACAAATCAGATAAATAAGCTCTTTCTTGCTTTATGAAAAAAAAACTACACTTGGTACTTCCGTTCTCCTACGGATTGTCAATCCTCATTAATCAAATTTGCCCTATAGAAAGCTGAGTTCTGTGTAAGCTGAACTATATATCGTGAAGCTCCTATTCAACTTCAAGCAACAGTTTAAATGTGTCTAAATAGTAACTCCTTCAGAAGCTGTCTGATTCAGCAAAAGCTAACATAAGGTTTCTAATGCCTAGAAAACACAATTGTGCTCTTGAAATAACTTACCCTTTATAGCATTCGACAGGATCTTGTTCTTCAAATCCTGCAAAGGCAAAAGACGACAGACCCACAAAAAACATCTTATTCCATCTCAATATTCCAATGCAACTTCATCTGGCAATGATAACAATTCTAGAGAGAGAGAGAGAGAGAGAGAGAGAGAGAGAGAGAGAGAGAGAGAGAGAGAGAGAGAGCACATACCAAGTTGATGATCCCGGCCATTCCCCAAGGGCACTGGCCATAATCACACTTATCGACGGGCCACCAGTCCAGCGTCGCGCACACAAAGTTGTCGTCTGTCCGAGCCATGTCGGTCACTCCGCTGATCGTGACCTTCACATCTTTTGCCAGACACAGCGAGAGCCATGAAAGGACCACGAAACAACAGACCACCTTGAACCCCACCATGTCTCGAGAGATGGCCACCAACTCTCCACGCTCGAAAGATTCTGAGAGAAACGGTAGCACTGAACGTAAGAGCGGCCTTTCTCCCTTGTGACTACATTACTACACATGGCTTTTAAGTTATATAAAAGATAAGTCCTACCAAATAAAATAAAAAATAAAGATAAGATCTTTTGATAATTTGAAATTATCCATAATCCTTCTATTTTTCGTTGGTAGTATTTCCGTTTAAGTCGGATGAGATAGAATCTAGCTTCGAGGTTACCGGGATTCGAGAATTCGCAAAGGAATTACTTCTTCGAGTGATTACATTCGTAAGAATTCAACCCGAAAGCGCGCACTACTTGAGGCATAAGATCGATGTGCCAATTGATCAGTTGGATTATTATCTAGACCTATCTATCGCATTTAGCTACGTTGTTTTAAGGAAAATGGCGAAATATTGACCCTTCTTCCTACACCGTACGTATACTTTCACTCTGTATATTATTAAGCCTCAACTAAAAAAAAACTATTGAAAATAGTTTTAACAAGGATACTAATAATTTCTCAATGATGAGTTAATTAAAATGGTATCATATTTATTTCAGCCATGCGAACTGAAATAATTATCAACCTAAGATCCTTGCAATTTCAGATTGATGCGATTCTTGGTTTTTGATGGAACTACCTCAATCAAGAAACAAATTCCATGACGTGTTATACGTTTCTAACTTTATTTGCAATTAAAACATACTTTCTTTTTCGAGTAAAACACTTTTGTACGTTTGTTTCGCGGAAAATGAATAATTTGGAAAACATTTTTTTTCAGAAAATAGTTGCTCGAAATAATTAGTTAATGAAAAATGTTCTCAATGCCGACAATAATTTATGTCAAAACATTTTTGTGGACGATGAAAATATTTTTCATCAATTCATTTTTGTGAACGATACGAGCGATCGTTTTCATGAAAATGCTCTCCAAAAAATCATTCATGTTCCGCGAAATAGACGGAGCCTAAAAATAAAAATATTATAAGAAGTTTATTTTGCAATGCGTATATTTAAACTGCTCATGATGAGGAAAATGGTGTTCTCGATCACAATCGGCTAATCTTGATTTGGGTCTAAGGAATGAACACCACCCGCGTTTATCACAGGCCTAACACCGGGGCCGTAGCGGCCCGTAAGCCCGCTAAGCCCACCGATCCTTGGGCCTAGGCCCAAAACATAAGGCCTTCTTGGGCCAGCCCAAGTGCGATCATTCCAGCTATCCATCTTGATAGTTCGATCAGATCAAACCATAAAGTCCAGATGAAAGCAAAGGCTACATAGTACTACTAATAACGGCATGTGATGGTAGTAGTGATTGCAACAATTAGGTTACATGTCTCTCTCCTCTCTCGCTCTCGGGTTCAAGCATAGCCCCCGTCGAAAATTAGGAGC